AATTGGGTCTCTCACAGGAGAAATATATTTTATATTGTGACAGTCAAAGTGCAATCCATCTCAGCAAGAACTCGACTTATCACTCAAAGTCGAAGCATATTGATGTTCGGTATCATTGGATACGCGATGCGCTGGAGATGAAGAAATTTTCATTAGAGAAAATCCATACTGACGAGAATGGTTCAGATATGATGACAAAGGCCTTACCTATGGAGAAGTTCTCTACTTGCAGAAAGAAAGCAGGTTTGGTCTCCTATGGTCTCCCTTTAATTTGGCTTATTTTTGCAGCTTTTGCAAAACCTGTTTATTCCAAATACAGTATTATTGCCTCACCAAACATATGTCTGGAGTCTTCTCAACCTATCTCTATTTTTGAAAACTACACACCAAACCATATCGGTTACAACTTGAAAGTAGGGATGGTGTTTGAAAATAAAGAAGTGTGTGTTCTTTTTTTGCAACATTGGCATATAAGTAACAATCTTAACTATGGAGTATACAAATCTGATTTAGTAAGATATATAATAAAATGTAAGAACTCACAGTGCAAATTCACATGTAGAGTTGCATTGCGTAAAAAGAGCTCAATATGGAAGATCGCTACTATAAGCGGATCTCACACTTGCACAATGACTTCTATGTCACAGGACCAAAAAAATTGGATTAGGAAATTATTAGCCACAACATCAGGGAACTTGTTAACAACGACGCTTCACTAAAAGTTAAAGTGATACAAACCCATATTGCCAAAAAATACAGTATAGAATCTCATACAGGAAAACTTGGATTGCAAAGATTAAGGTCATAGAATCACTTTATGGAAATTGAGAGATGTCTTACAATGAACTACCACAGTGCGAAAGAAGAAGAAAGCACGTTCAAATAGTACAAGAATTAGAACCGAAATAGACGATGTTGAGAAAGAAAAGAGAAAGTGTGGGATTTGTCGAGAAATTGGCCATATGCGTAAAAAATGTCCAAATGTAGTAGGCTCGTCAAATCAGCCCGTCTAGATTAATTTTTTTGTTTTTTTAATTTAACGTTCAATTAATATAACTTTAATTTTGGAGATTTCAATTAATATAACTTTCATTTGTTTCATACAACTTTTATTCAACATTCGACAATATCAAAATAAAAAACGCACCCAAACAAACAAGACGATAAACATTATAACGATTTAAAATCTAAACATGCATAGGATATTACAACCATCAGGACAATATCTGCTTGTCCATACATTATCATAACACAATTATAATCGTTTTTTTACCGCTTTTTAGGCCTTGACATCTCCATCTTTAACAAGCCTTTCAATTCTTCTAATCTTTTCACCTTCATTAATTTCTCCTTCTAACCATCTCACCAGGCTTCTCTAAAAGTGCTCGAATTTCACTGTGTTTCACAATCGGATCTTCAATGGTGGCTTTATTGGGGAAAAAACCAGTTAAGCATCTCTTTTGGTGAGAGGAGTATCTGGATTAGTAAAATACTCCATTTTTTATAAAATTTTTCAGACTAAAATGATGAAATGGACGAAGATGATCTAAGATCTAAAAGTACCCAAATAATGCAATATATAAAAAAAATTAAAAATAATAAAATATTCTCTGCTCGGCCAATAAATGGTCGAGCTTTTTCACGCAATTATTGATGTATAATTGACAATAATAATAAATTATATTTTAAAATATTAAAAGAGTATTAATTGATATTTATTATAAAAATAATTTTATTAGTAAACAAATCGAAATGTTTTATTCTATTATAATATTATTTAAAAAAATATAATTATTATTTTTTAATGTTATTATATTATTTAAATTATTTTTAAATAATTTACACAATTTTTTAATATTAACGTAATACAAATTATATTATTTATAATACTAATTATATTATAATACATATTATATAAGTTTTATATATTTTAAAAACTAAAAAAAAATTATTAAAAAAAAGCCTCTTCATTGGTCGGTCAACCATTGGCCGAGTACATGCACATATTCCTCTTCATTGAATTGTCTTTCTTTGGCCAAACCTTAATTAAAATGGTGATATTCTTATTTTTTTTAAAATTGTGACATTTTGGTATTTAATATATTTAATATTTCAAGCAGTGGCAGTGGCATGTGGGTAAAAAATTACCGTTGTAGCTCTTGAATGTTATATGATTTCCATATTTTATCTTTCATGAAAAAATAATCAAAGTCTTTATAGATGGTTTTACTGTGCACAATTCTAGTTTTGATAACTTATTGGCATAAACTTATCAATTCACATTTAAACTAAAACTTGTCAATATTTGATTGAATTTAACATGTGAAACTAGTATCATCCACACCATACAAAAATTTAACAAAACAAAACTAACTAAGTAGCACATGAGATACATAACTACGTTCATAATCTTTTAAATTTAATTCAATCATCCATAACAGAAAGATAAATCATTAAATATGCAGTATACATTATGCAATGCAGTGAAGAATGAATCATCAACAATGCAATTCCATATACTTGATTGTGTTTTTCTCAACAATGCTTGAACATGTAAATGTTAAAGTGACTATAGTTGAATACATACATTTATACAGAAACAAAACTTGCTACATAAAACCATATCTTAAAATATATTTTGCTCACCCAGCTCTTGACCAGCCATCCCTTCCCTGATCACCCTACCAAAAAACTCTTCCAATGTATCATTCCCATAGCCCGGCGTCTTCTCGTCACTGTACTCCCCGGTATCAGGATCCAAAATCAACATACTTTCAGCTGCATAGTACCTTCCGATTTTCCCAAACTCAGCAGCATCTTCCAACGAAGGAAACACCTTAACCAAAAAATCAAGAACACCAATCGCGAAATCCATTATCCCTATCGGAACCTTCAAGAACTTAGGCTCCTTCCCTAAAAGCCTAAACAAAATCTCCCCTTGTTCCAATGGAGTCAGCGCCTTCCCCGGTCCTCCAATAGGTAAAATCTTGTTAACTTTATCTTCACTCATCACACAATCAACAATAAAAGAAGCTAAATCTTGCTCGCTTATCGGTTTACAAGCACACAATTTCCCATCACCAAACATCACATAAGGCTTCCCATCTTTCACCAAATCAACCTGACCACCTAAACTCTTGAAAAACGCGGTCGGCCTCACTATACTATAACTAAACCTATCATCGTTCTCCGCTTCTTTCACCAACTCATCCTCGAGTTTCAGCTTCGCGCGCTGAAACTCGAGAAGAGGTTTCTGCACACATATTGCAGAAAGCAAAACAAAATGAGAAGCACCAAGTTTTCTACCAGCTACAAGACTATTCTTAGTTGCTTCATAATCAATCTTCCACGAATCCTTAACCCCGCCATTTCTACTCGCAAGACACGACACAACAACATCAAAAGAAACACCTAGGTTGTCCAAAGACTCATTAAAACCATCTAAATCAGTTACATCAGAGAAACAAACATTAGCACCTCTTAACTCACTCAATGTTGTTTCTTTATCAACACTTCCTTTAGTTCCACTCTTTTCTCTAGCAATTGAAGTAACATTAAAGCCTCTTTTAACCAATTCTTTCACCACAAATTTTCCTATATACCCAGTTGAACCCACAACGAGTACATTAACATCTTTTGGATTTTTGGTTCTAAATGTTGATGGGGTGGTTTCAATTGGTGGAGATGGTGAAAGAGAAGCATAAAGTTTTGATTTTTGCTTGGTATACTTAATGGATTCATGAGATTTTTTAGAGAATGAGGATAGAGGAGTTGAACTTACCTGGAATAGGTTGAATGAAAGGGTTTGGTGTTTGGGTGATGGGAGTGTGATGAAATTGGAAGAATAACAAAGGGACATTTTTGTCTCTTGATTCTTAACAAGTTGTGTGTGTTGCAAAGGTTGTCTTTGTGATTGAAGGGAAATGGTTGAGTTAGATTGAGAAGAAGGGTGAGAGTGGAAATGATAAGTTTGTTGAAGATGAATCCAAATGGATGGTGGTGATGAAAGGAAGTGGGGTTGCATAATCTCTACCTGTTTTCACTAAATTTATTAATTTTTTAAATAATTTATATTTATTAATCTAGTACTAATTTTTCATATAATTTACATTTATTATTATAAATATAGATCAAATTTTAAAATATTAGGTTTATGATTAATTAAATGGTTAGATTTAAACATTGAAAGTTTTTTTTTACTAAATCTTATAGTTGAAGTGGAGATTTGAATCTGCTTGCTAGCATATTTAACACAACTAATCATAGAAAATCACATTGATAGATTTAGAAAATACTTATCATCTAGTGTGTACTTTAAATTGACTAAATTTAAGGTAAAATTATTTATATTTAAATAAATTTTTTAAAAAGTAGATTGAACAATATATTTTAATAAATTTTAAAATAAAAATTACGCTTAAACTCAAAATAAAAATTATGTTTTAGTTTTAAATAGAATGATTCTAACAAACATAATTAATTTTATTTGATAACAATTAAATATGTGAAAATTAATTCTACAAATTGAAAATCCATTTTGAATGTTTCAAAGATTCACTTAGCATGTGTTTGATTCTAAGAAGAAAAAATTAATTTTAAATTAGTTGGTTTTGATTAAAAATTAATTATAAAAGTAAAGTGATATAAAATTTAATACAATTAGAAATAACAAGGATACTCATATAGTGTATATTTTTCCAGTAACAAAGATAAATCAATTAGGCAAAAAAGAAATGATATCCAGAGAAAACACATATGGAAAATGCCATGATAATATTTCATGATTATGTTTAATCAAAATGATTCACACATGTTCTTCTGTAGTATTATGACTTATCAATGCTCAGTGTTCACCTTAAAAGTAAATTTCAACTCTAACTCCAAGTAGAAGAGCAGAGAAAACACATACTTCAGAAATGAATGATAATGTTCTATATACAATATCAACATGGTGAAAATATTCATTTGATTTCAAACCCAAAGATACACTCAGAAGTTGATCATAAGGTCTCGAGAAAATGAGCAAAGCTAGAATACTTGGGCTCCCACCCTACTTCCTGCCGCGTTTTTGAGTTGTTTAATCTCTTACCAAGAGGATCATCGGTTCCTGCAAATGAAAAATTACAAAGGCGTGTTGCTTTCATAGTTAGAGACGATATCATAGTACAAGTTATTATGTTTTATTAATTGTTAGTTTTCATTCTCAAATTTGATATTTACAACTCAAATGAGTATGCACCTGTGAATTTCTCGAACTTTTTACTAAACTTTCCACTTTTTTCAACTAGATCCATCAGTTCTTGCCTGCCAAAATGTTCAAAGGGAAAAAATAAGTTTTCTTTATTTGAAAAGAAAATAAAAAGGAAAAGAAGGATCAACTTACTTCACAAGTATGTCTTCACTATTTAATAAATCCAACACTAAGTTGATGATGTTGGTACTTCATGTTATGAGTATTTACTTTGAAATCAAGTTTTATATAAACTTTTCAATCTAATAAAAAACCTACTATTTCTAGTTATACCCATTTTTAGAGTTAAAATCTAACAAAACATGTGTATTTGCTGTTAAAAAAACGCATTTGACATAGACAAAATTGATATAGTTTCCATCATAAAACCAGACACACATCGAGATGGCTTAATCTTCAAGTAAGTGGATCTTCACTCGACGGGTGTACATAAATATGACAAAGCATCTAACCTGGATAAAGGATGATTATCGCAGCCTAAAAAAATCTTTCCACGAAAATGTTTCTTCAAGATTGCAACCGAGAGCGAAGCTGCATCCTGATATGAAACAGGAGCGTTAAACAAAATACTCAATTTCTCATATTATCAAATACTAAATGACAAGAAGTAGATAAGAAAACAAATTTTTGTGAAGTTCTAACCTCATAATGTATGAGATTCAGGACGTGGTCAGGTCGAGATTCAACAATCCCCTTCTCTAAATAATAAGCATGCGCGCCTTTACCTTCTTTGTTTTAAAAGTCAAGGTTGGCATCCACTATAAGCATAATAGAAATAACCAAACACAAGAATAATGGACCTTTGAAATCCAAGAAAATTGAGGTTTTGAAAAGGATATATAAAGTCCAGATAGTCTAACAACTGAACCGCCAAACTCGAGCACAATACTTTCTGCATTTAAAAGGATATCAGTCCTTAGGCTCCTCCCAATCGGCACAACCGGAGAATCCTACATAGAAGTAAATTTAATCACATGAAGAAGACAAATTAACAGATCCATAACAGTTCTGCATTGTTATAAAACTGAATATGATGAAGAAAATAAGTGATTCCTAATGCCACAATAGAGACGGAGACTTGAGACTGAGAGAGAACAGTTGAGAAATTTCTTAAGACCTACCTCATCACATAAACCATTATCGTTACAATCATACGGAGCCGAACTTGATGTAAACAGAAAGGAACCTTCACCATTCCAGCATGATGCAGCCTGCCTGAGTGGTTGACAGCCCACATTAGTTCAGAAGAAAGATACAACTTGAAAACTTATTAACTTTTACTTTTTTCAAAGGTAAATTTAAGCTTTTTTCTCCGTCTAACGACAGAAAAATAGATTCGACCCCATTCCCAACAAAGAGTGTTTGGCATTTAAAATACATTTCTTATCTTCAACTTTCTTAGATATAATACAGCTCTCAAATACAAACATACAAACAGATAAAATACTGAATACAATTCCTACAAACTACTACACCCTCTGGTATTTCATATGAATTGAATATAACTCCTACAAAATACTAGTACAAATTACAGGAATAATGACTAATTAAGACCAAGATTACTCACTTAAGATCACCGTGGTAATCCGAGGATTGATAAGGGGGAGCACAAAAAATCACATAGGGAAACTTGTGTTGAAATTTAGTCCAGTTCAAAGAGGGACTAATACCCAATTGAATCAACTCCTCGTGATGATTATTGGTTATTGTTTGTCCAAAAACTTGACAACCCTCATATTCCTGCATCAACAAAAAAAACAGGGCATTCAAATTCCATATCAGAAGCACAGTACACTGTTCTAGGAAAAGTACCACTAACGGTACATTTCAGATTCCATACCTGACGCCATTGATGAGCGACTAAACGACCAAGAACACCAGGACCAACGATTAAGAGATCAGTTTGTCCAATAGAAAGAGAAGAAGAAGAATCCAATTGAGAAAGATTGAAATTGGTAGCCGCCATGGAAGAGTAAGATGAAGATGAACGTGAAGAGTTTGGAGAAATTTTGCAAGTGGAGAATTGTGTAGAACGGTGTTTGAAGAGTGGAGTGCTTTGGGGGGTTTGGCAAGAAAAATGGATGAAGCTTGATAAGACTATTTGTAATGACATTGAAAGGAGTTAATGGTTAAAAACGAATTGTGAAGTAATGATGTGTTAGTTTTAAATTATCATGCAACTTTATTTTGATGAAAACGATGAGTGTCATAAAATTTTGACCACACACCTGCCCAAATAAAATATGAAATTGAGGATAATTTAAAACGGGTGAAGATTTAGACATTATATAATATGTGCTCTCAAGTTAGTTTGTTTTATATGTATATGAAAGGAGAGAAAATGATTATTAAAATATTCAAATCTTATGTGACAAATGATATAATGACACCATATTTGACATATAAACCATATATGTATATTATCTAATAGTATACTTTTTCATTTTTTAATTATTTTTTGATGTATTGAAATTTGTGTCACACTTGTAATGATTTTTATTAGTTACGGTGTAAAATGACACGGTGTACAATTTTAGTGTAAAATGACACATCTCTTATATTTATAGGATTTTTTTTACAAGGTTCATTCTAAATTTTCGTATGCATTAATTTCTTTTAATATATTTTTATTTATAATTGCATTAAGTATAATAATAGTAAAGACCTTATTTATTTTATGGAGCATAAGAGACTCTTAACCCAACTGCTTTGTTAAGTATTTATGGATATGATTGTCTAATAAAGGAGTTCGGGGGAGACACGTTCTAGCCTACAAACTATGTTATACACTTTTTGGCTTTGACTCATTTTGTAAAATGAAAAGGGTGAGTCATCCCTTTAATGCATAGTGTAGGGAGTATTTTGATTGTTGACTAGGAGAATTTGTTGGACTCAATGAGCACGTGGTTTGAGACCTTTTTCCATGAGGTATAGCATAAAAGGAGGTGTGGCAAGGTTAATCAAGTGCATTCCATGTGGTTCTGCATTTTATCATTTAAAGGATTTTTTAAGATTCAAAGAGTTGACGGGTTTAAAATCTGACATTTACCAGACGAGAACTGGATTTAAAGTAGTTTGCCAGTCGAGAACTGAACATTGAACGGTTGAGTGATGTTAGGTTACAAGGCTCTTTGGTGTCAGATTCAGGTTGTGGAGTTTTATCCGATAATAGAATACAATGTTTTATGCTCGAGCGAAGCGACATGACTAATGCATAAGGATGATTTATGCAATGATTATGTCGGTTTCCAAGTGCTCCTGTGTGGATAATGGAAATAAGGTCTTTGTAGCAAGGCTTCTTCAGAAGGCAAAGGTTATTTGATGGGGTCATAACATGATTTCCTGACACTCGTCTTGAATTCAAAAGTTGCTGATGAAATAGAACTTGTTTGATTAGCTCTTAAAACATGGATAAGTCCTGCCCCAATCTGGTCCTTGGGGAGGTTCACCTTGAAAGGAGGTTGGAAGCAGCTTTCCATGAGATGAACTCGAGATGGCTTGCCCTAGAATTTGCGTCATGAAAGGATTTGTCCTTGATTAACCAGCTTTTAAAGCGGTTGGCTTCGATGTACTTTTGAGATATCCCGCCCCAGAATGAGCTTTGAAGCGACCTAACTTGTGTCGATTGACTATTAAAGGGACTTGCCCTTAATCAAAGAACTTCTGGGTGACCTGCCCCCGGTTGATAGTGTCTCGAGATGATTAACTTCTGGTCAACCGGTTCTTGAATGATTTGCCCCATAATCAATCGGTGCTTGAGGAATTGCCTTAGACTGATTGATTTCATACTCATTGGATGTCAATGCCTCAGATCTATAGGACTACAAGGTATTCTTGATTCTGATCAACTTTGTTGAATGATCCAGTCCTTTTCAATTGTTCCTTGTTGGAATTTCCTCAATGTCAAATACTGACATGCAATTAAAATTGTTTGTTTACAAATGGTAATTTTAATGCGATGATCATGCAGATTTTGAAAAAATCAATTGTTATTAGAATGATATGATAGTGTGTGAATAATGGACCATTAGTTTAAACGTAGCGTTGATTTAGCTAGTGTGAGAGAAACAATAACAAGAAGAAGATTAGCAAATCTCTATGAGTCATTTTATGCAACCTTTTTGTAGTATGCTTTCAGAATAAACCCTGCTTCAATTAGGACTTTTAAGGGTTGCAATATGGTCTGGTTCACGGTTTTTTTAGAAAAAAGGATTTATAGCTCAAAGTTATTTGTACCCACCCATTCTCCTTAAAGTTCTCAAGTCCTACGTTCAGCTAATTTGGCACAAATGCTCATACCTCAAAAGGATTTTATGATGGTTAAGGAATCAATTACCCTGATGGCCTAAAAACCAATGAGGTTTTTTTTTTAGTAACAATCGCCCATTTTGTCTTTGTGTCTGTGGTCACATGACTTGCTCTTGCTCGAAGATTTTTCTTTTGTAACCTTTTACTCTTTTTACATTTTATTTTTTAATTTTTGTCTGGACTGATTTTTGTTTGATTTTGATTTTAAAGTCCAACAGGATGCCCTAACTTTTGCCTAAGTCGCTTGTCTTCAAGTTTCCAACTTAGTGGGTTTTCTTTACTTTTTAATTCTTTTTTCTTTTGAATAAATCGTGTGACGCTAGTTTTTCTTGATTTCTATGAAAGAGTTGTGGCTGCCTCATTTCTTGGTTGGTGAGGGATAACCATTATGGTCTCACGTCCTTGACCTCCTGATGCGTGAGGAATAACAAGTGATGGATCCTTAGATGCATACTCCTTTTGAAGTTTGAACGCTCGATCAAACTAACTGACAACTACCCTGCCCATAGGTTAAATGTGAGGGTTTTTTCATACGAAAAGAAACTCCTACCTCAGGGCTCAAAGGGGTTAACGAGGTTATATCTCCCTTATATCTCATGTGTTTGGGGAGTTGAAACAATGTTTATACATCATCAATAGGATTTTATCTGAAAGCACACCATTAGCAAGTATGGGTATTTCGTTTTCGTCATCCCCCCTCCAATATCTGTTAACACAATAGTTTAATAAAGTGGAGTGAAAGGGATAAACATGGATGTATTTTTTTTGAAGAAAAATGAGCGAATGCGACATGATTAATTCTAGAAAATGCATGATCACTTCATTAATATTGTTAGACGATAGCGCAGATCTAGAAGGGGGTTGAATAGATCGTTTGCTTAAAAGAGTCGGTGCTACCAATAAAAATGGTTTTTAAACTTTGTTTTAATAGCGGAAGCTGCCGAGGAACTATACCGTCTAAAACAAACAGTTACTAGAAAACCGGATATGCGTTAAGCCTATGGAATCTGATAACGAGATATAAGAATTACTACGTTAATCACACTATCAATTTGATTCAGCTCACTATATGGTGTGACTAGTTCCAATGCCTTAAAAATATTAACACAATGAAAGGACAACACACAAGGCTTTTAGTTCAGACAATTTATCAAACACTTAGAGTGTAGAGCACTACAAGTGAGTTCTGTTTTGAGAGTGAATTGCTCAAGTTTCCTCTTACAATCAATGATTGTACTAGGTTCAAAAATTAGTTAAGCACTACTCAAACCAAACCTAGATTGATATAATCATTTGCACTAAAAACATAAATATTGAGCAATATAAACATAAAGCAAAAGACACAATGATTTGTTGAGGCAGTTCCCCCATCGTCCTCGCTCGGGGTACGTCTGCCTTCAATTCTAATAATAGAATTGAGACCTGTTAATATATAGATATAACCTGTTGTTGAAAGTTTATACAAGAAGCGAATAGCTATCAAACAAACAAACATTATTGTTGTTGTAGATCCTATTTCTTCTTGCCCCTTGGTTCAAGTCGAATCAAGTACTTCGACAGTTGTGAATAAACCTCTGATTGCGGCACTATCTTTGAATAACCTTCCGTCTTCAAAATCTAGCCCGGCTGATTTCAATCACCCGCGTGTCGAACCTGAAACTCCCACTCACAATCCTCCATTTACCGTTACTAAATCGACGGAAACTCCAGCTCCTCGATTACCTTCACTCGGCTGAATATGTGATTAGACGAATCGTGCAAAAACCTCCAAATTTAGAGAATCTTGGAGGACAAAACCCTAGAGGTTTTATTCAAGAAAAACTTGTCGATTCCTCAACCTAAACCAGATAAACCAATCTTCGACTTTGGACGTTATCACCTCTTAACAATGCACAATGCACAACAAAGATGATTATGTGTAATTGTTGTGGAATGCAATAAAGAGAATGAAGATAATGAGAACCAAATCGACACCTATTTCACTTTTCTTGTTTTTCTCAATGTTATGAAGTGAAAGTAGCAACTGAACTTATATATCAAACATAACTGACATAACAAACAAAACCACTTCACAAAGACAGTTGACATAACAAAAATTTGACATAAAATAGCGAACGGTCAACCTATGCAGAAGAGGGGGTCAACCTAAGCTGACCCAAATGTGAAACTGTGCAGAAATCAGAACCATGCCTCGACCGGAGCTTTGCATGCATCGATGCATAGCATTCATTTTTAGCCAAATTGAAACGCTCACAGTATGAGTCGACCGGAGGGTAGACGCGAGCCCTCTTGAGACTAATCCACAAAAATGACACATAGTGTGAGTCGACCGAAACAGGTCTTTGGTCGACTCAAAGCTCTGAAACACTCAAAAATGCCTATATTCATATTTTTTGACACTCTTGTGAAACCTATGATATGGCACACGACACCAACAACGTCAAACTCATATGACACATATTTATGACAATTTATATGCAACAACCGTGATATTTTATACGCATTTGAATTACGAGAAACACAACATGCAAATGCAACATAATGATAACGTCCAACATATATTCTTCTATGGAGCTGAGTTTTGACATCATCAAAACGAACACGTCTATATATGAGGCTTTTCCCTCACATACTCCCTCTTTTTTATGATGGCAAAACACATAGAACCTGACTGTATGATATGTGACATTATCCTTCCCCTTGCTTGATGCCTTCATCCTTACACACTCTTTTGTGTTAATGCTAAGTCTTCACCTTTGGTCTTTTTGATTCTACTGCAATGCTTGACACTTTCTCCCCCTTTGA